AGCCGTGCGTTCCGACCCAGCTTTGTTCCTGCAATCTGTCATGTTTGACCTCTATTAACCATCCCTCGCTGCCATCGGCGCCCCCTTCGCCCTTCGCTTTCCACCCCGGCGACTGACCTTACTCTTCGCTTATCCCGACCTTACCCTTACCCTTACGCTTTCGCCCCGAGTCGAACTCCGGGCCCGGGGACGTACTTTTCCCGGCCTTGAAAATCGCCCTTGAAAACCTATCGATAGAAATGTGTCCCGTTTAAGGGTGGATTCTCACGCTTGGTTTTGGAGTCTTACCTCCGGTTGGGAAGCTTCTCGCATCCGTAAAGGAGTTTCCCTTTTCGACATGACCAGGGTGGCGCTACTGTGCTGAGGTAAAACAAAGTTCAAACATTAGGACGCTGCCAAATTTTGTCCAATTTTTGGAAGGAATTTTCTGGAAAACTTGAGAGGTTGTATGTTGAAACGATTTAAGAATAACTGTTAGCATTTTAATCTGAAAGTCTAAGAAATTTCGATTTAAAAATATCCATTATCTTTTTCAGAAATTATGTTTTTATAGAAGGCAATTCGACGAAATTCGGAGGTTCATACTGCGTTGTTCCTTAGAACCAAAGAGTGAGAATCCGTCGTCTTTCAAACGAGGGAACGTAAATCCATTCAAAGGTTGCAAAATCGACACAAACTATAAAATTTTGAACGGGAGGTGACTGTGTAATTTTTTTTTCTAAATTTTGATAATTTTTGCGTGAAACTGGAGGGAAAAGTATGGATACTTTTAGAAAGAAACGCCCGCGAAAGAACTAATTTCAAAAATGAAAATTACTGAAGTGGAAATTGACTTCTCTATCAGATGGCCTTTAACAAAAAATAGATCAAAACAAATAATATAAAGAGAGGCCATTTTGCATTTCCCTCTTATTTTTTACTTTCCTACCTGCCCACAAAAATTTCAGCATTGAAAGTTCCTCTTATGAAAAAAAAATGAAGAGCGGGCATAAGAATGTTAAACCTTGCATGCAATTCGCATTTTCCAACAACAGGCCATCGATGTGCATCAGCAGCGATAAAACCCGACGATGAAAATAATTCGCCGCAAAAGCTATTCGATATCATGCAGCGCTAGGAAACGAGGTCTTTCATTTGCGCCGAAACACGCGGAGAGAAATTCCGGGACAGGCGAAGAGGGAAAAAAGGTTGAAAGGATAAAAATATAGAGGTAGAACCGAGGCATGGGAGTTAGGATCTAAACGCTGCGGAATGAGAACAATAACACAGTTAACAACAATTGTTAGTATGTAGTTGCGCCGCGGAAATGTCGCGTGCGCATGCGCACTAGCATCGCGGCCGCGGCGGAAAAAAAGAAATCGATAAGTCCTCGGTGGCGGCGATGCACGAACACAAATCTGGGCACCGTGCGGCACCAGAACGACTTTTTCTACGAGCTCGACTTAGCTCGGTACAACATCGACAACCCTTTTTCATCCTTCCCTCGTTTCCATCAAAACTTGCTCCCAACGCACCTAACGCGCGAATGCGTTTTCGGGACGGTTGAGGGTACAGAGCGCTTAATTTTGGGGACGGTGGTGGTGACTTGCGTTGGTTAAACTTTTTAAAAATCAACAAAGTCCTTATAAAGGACAAAATCAAATTCAGAGTGGTCAAATTCAGAGTGGCATTTGGAGGCCTGGTAAGCGCCATCAGCGGGCTGATTGTTCAAAGTGATAGACAAAGAAGACGTAGGGAGTATAGAGCGATCCTACTGGTCGAAATGGGTGGTTCTTAAAAAAGACAGAGGTAGAAAACGATGAACTAACTAAAGGGTCTCTCATGGGTTGCTTCAGTTAGTCTATTACTTACCTCCTTCCTTTGTCTACTGCAACCACCCGCTTCAACCAATAGGATCCTTCCATATCGTCTTTGTGTTCTTTGATCGCTTTATCTACGGGGTATCTACTGAAACAGGCTGACCAAAAATCAGTACTTTTACAGTACTTTTTCAGTACATTCCCAAGAAATTCAGTGCCCCCTCAAGAGAAAAATTCAGTACTTTTTCAGTGCCAGTGACGAAATTTTTTTTCGTCAAGTTTCTAAAATGAGCCAGGTATTGCGATCTCTAATTGCTAAACGTAGCCCAAAATTATCCTATGCGTATTTTGAGAGCGCTAAAGACCAAACTGGGTAACTTCACCATTCCTGTAAGCAGGAAATTACCCAAGTGCCCATAACCCCAGGCCGACCAACAACCTTTTACGTCTGGAACCTTCGAAGGGCACCGTTCGAGTGAAAATGTATTAGGCTACTACGCAGCACGAAATTGGGGGTACCACAGCTTACACCGGAACTCCCCTCCCACTCGTTCTCGTTCGACCGATCACGGGTAGCTCCCGCGCTCACGCACAGTGGATTGAGTCAATTAGAGTGGTCGCACATCAAATTTGTCACTAAAACTGCGAATTTTGGTGTTTACTTCGCCACATTTTAAGTTTTAATAGGTGCCTCTGTAAGAACATTTCACGAGGAAACCAATGGAACCACTTTTAGAACCTCAACATTTTGTATAAACGACGTTTTAAGGTTTCCAAATTTTGTCCGAGTTCTCCTATTGACTCGATCCACTGTGCGGCGGGCAACTCACCATTTAATTAGAGCATAATTCATTTTGCATGGAAACCCGACAACACTGAGCGCGGAGCCGGAAGCAAAGGCGGAAATGAGGCGACGAACTAACTAAAGATTCGACAGGAGCCTAGATTACTTTTTTCAAGAATTCAAGCCTGATTCCAGGTTTCAGTTTTTCAACGCGGGCTTGTGATTTTCTTAATTAACGCTCGAAGCTCAGCTTCATTACTTACACGCGGGAAAAAATCGGGCATTTATTCTGCCGTGCTAAGGAAGAACGCCGTATGAACCTTCGGGCGTTGCCAAATTTCCTTTGATAAAACACGGTTTTCATGGAAAACTTATGAACATTTTCCTTCCAATGTTTCAGATAATTTTGTTCGCAATGTCACCTAAAGCTTCTGAAACTTTCGAAGCAAAATTTTTACAACTTTCCTACAAAATAAACATTTTATCGAAGGAAATTTGGCAACACTCGAATGTTCATACGGCGTTCTTCCTTAGCACGGCAATATTCTCTCTTAAGGTGAATCTACTCCGGCAGAGAACAAGGAACGAGACGCACTTACTTTATCAGAAAGGAATCATGTCACACGCGCAAAAAAACTTATCGATTTGCTGTTCAGCTGAATAGTTACAGTGGCGTGGCGTGCTTTGCGATAAATCGATTGTTATGCCATTTAAACCTATGGAAAAGGATCGATGAAGAGGGTCTTCGCAGCGAACACTTAAATAATCGATTCCTTATCATACGTTTAAAGGGCATAAAAATCGATATATTGCAAAGCGTGCCAAGCCACTGATTAATTATGCTTTAAATATGTAGAAAACCGTCAACCGATGGGACCACCGTGTATTGGACTCACGTCAGTAATGACTAATCAATAAGTATTGCTGCAGACTCAGCTTCCGTTAAAACTGGGGGGTTTCAAAAAGGCTCATTGATGCCTTTATTAGCCCTCTCATTGGCTGGAGATGCAAGTTGAGGGAATTGATGAGCAATTTTGAAGCATCCAGGTTGGACGTTGGGAGGAGAGAGGAGACGCGGCCTTGGAGAAGTAGCTTTGTGCATTTATCTATTTTCTACATTTCTAATACTTTGAAAATACTTATTTTCAAAGCAAAAAGAAGAAAAACCAAGTTATGAGTGATTCTCAGCTACTACTATTCTCAGCTTAGTAGAAGTTGGATTCAGCGATGTAACTTTGAAAATGGGCCCTTTTGCGAGATTACAATGATTAATCTCCACGAAAAATACAAAACACGAGAGAAAATACATCAAAAGTTTTGAAATTGTGAGGTAGGTGTGGAATTTTTTCTTCCTTATTTTGAACTTCAAACAGTTCGAAGTTGAACCACTGAACTTTACTCGAAGTTTACGAAAATCGTCCTTTTTGTGATGCTAATTTAGAGGATATCAATCAAAATGTGAACCAAATGAGGCCTTCTGAGAGAAAGAGCTATTCAAAAATTGATTGTGAAAAATGAATACGACTTGAAGACAAAAGGAAACAAACACAACATTAAAATATAGCGGGGGCAAGGACGCGCTTTAACGACGGCGCAGAAATACAACTATTCGTACTTGATGGATGTCCGTGTTGCGTCTGCGAAATTGAAGGCGCGATGGCGCGAGGCGTGAACTCGCTATGCTTTGCTCTATGTTGCCAATTAGGAGTCATGGCTTGTGCAAATTCGTGAGAAAAGTAAAAAAACGAAGACTATTTCCTATCTTCAGGTATATTGCTCACTTAGCTTTTGAAGCAACACTTAATAAGACATACGAAACCAACACAACATGGAAATAAAGTCAGGAAAAAGAAGCGCGTTGATGACGGCGCAGAGATACAACTATTCGTGTTTCATGGATGTCCGTGTTGCGTCTGCGAAATTGAAGGCGCGATGGCGCTAGGCGTGAACTCGCTTTGCTTGTGCTGCCGATTAGGAGTCTTTTCTTGACCAAAGTCATGAGAAAAGTTAAAAAAAGAGAACGCTTAAAGTATTTATCATCCTCCTAGGCTGTAATGCTCCCTTAGCTTTTGAAGCAGCACGACAAATAAGACATACGGAGCCGACACAATCCATTTCGAGGATGCAAAATCGACTCAAAGAATTCAATTTTTTTACAAAATATATTGTACAATTTTTGCCCGGAATTTTTCTGATTTGTGCATGAGGTCAGAAGAAAAATCAGTGAAAATTTCAGATAAAAATTCCCAAAATTCTGGTAAAAATGCGATTTGCGAGCGGAAAATTGGGAAGATTGAAATGTAGTTAGGTTCATTGTGAGGGGAACGACGACTTGTGTGATTCTTTTTTACTAAACTCAGTTAAAATTTTAAATTTTTTAAATTTTCTTCAAACTTTAAATCAGCAAGAGTACGTACCGTTGAAGCTCTGCTGCCTTTCCCTCTCCCCCGCCGACTTTCGCCCCGGACATAATCATTACTCAGGTACAATAAGTGCTGAAACAGAGAAATAAATCAATTCATCACCGAATGTCCCCATTAAATGAATAACGAACACACCATTTACATGAAACTCTTCTACTTCAAACTACTGAAACTAAGCTCTAAAGTACATAACTCTCATAACAAAACAAAAATATATCTACTTATTATTGAAGCACAGGAGGTATCATTTTCTATACAACAAAGTACACACCGAAATTTTGCAGTCTAATATCCAAAACAAGAAGCATGTCTTTCATTAAACTGGAGACGATTAACAACAATTAAAAAAATGTACTATTACTCTCCGTAACCGTTTTAGTGCGGAGTTTCGAAAATAATTCCGAAAGCAGTTGCTTCGCGCTAATGTGCGCTGACCATAGGTCGCGTTCATTTTTATTGTTATTCCTTAAAATCGAGCAACTTTGCCCGTTGTGAGTTGGTATGCTGAGTTCGCCTTCAATTTCGAACTGATACTGTGCCACGCACGGGTGGTCGAATAGTTGCTTCTCGCTTGTGTACGCCGAGTATAGATCCTGTTCTGTTTTATTATTATTCGATAAACGCCAGTTTACGCATTAGACAGCCACCTTCCCGTCCATTTCGCTGAATGACCAATGTGACCTGTCGTTACGTGAAATAGGGTCTGAACTTTTTATTAACAAGACAGTTATTATTAATTCATTTAACTTTTTATTAACAAGATAGTTAATATTAATTTATTTAATACCTATAACATTTTGACTTTGGTACAAAATTTAAATTTTAGGTTGATTTATAGACTTTTAGAGGTTAAAGATCCTTATACTTCTTTCTTAATCTTTCTCTTGCGTGACTTAAACTCGTGAAAGTCAGAATAGTCAGCGATTCCTGAATACATCTGGAGCAAAGTTTAGAGATAGCGTCGCGTACGGCAGGGAAGATTCTAGCGGATTGGCAAATCTGCTTTCCCTCCATTTGAATCCATCCTAAAAATTGATTCTAGGACAGGGCATTGATAGTTCAGAATCGATTGTTCCACTTATATTCAAATAGAGCAAGAGCGCACTCGCCAACTTACAAGAGAGTCAAGACAACACCCCCTCATGGAGTCGCAAACGGGAATAAAGATTACAGAAATTGAACGTTTTTTTGTAATCTTTGATCGGCCCATTCTCAGATTCCTTTCTCCGTTCCTTCTCTCATTCCGTTTGCTCCTTGCCGAACCCGTAATTCCCTGGTCCATTCCAGATTATAATCCTTGCAATCGGTGAAAATGTAATCTTTATTCCCGTTTGTGACACTGTGAAGGCCTAGAATACGGGAACCAATCAGAAATGGATTCACGTTGTCTTGACTCTCAGTATAAAGGGAAAAGGGACTCTACTCAGCGCGAGAAAAAGAAGCAGAAAAAAACGCGAGGAGAGCTGTGGGAGGCGGCAGAGTTGAAAATGAGCGCGGACGAATCGATATGCCAATGATAGCGAGGTAATAGGAGGTGCCTACCCGGCGTTGCGAAGGCGCTGCTGCCGGAGGAGAGTTTTCGCGATCGGGAAAAAAAGCCGGGCCAGGCGGCACGGGCTCGGGACGGTAGGCCGAGATGTCCCGGCTATTAAGCACCCTTTTGATTTCCATCCCTCCGCGCCCCGCCGCCCGCTCGCCCTCCCCTCCGGAGGCAGCGCGAGCCGCGACAGGGCGCAGTCGCGGCGCCGAGTGAACTTGAAAAAGTCGGCGGCTCGAAAAGCGATCGCGCGGCCAGTGCCGCAGATGAGGCCGGGGCCGGGAGGCCAGAGTTCGGCCTCCGCTCTAATCGGGAATAAGCTCCAACGTCTTAAAATCGGACAGCGGCTTTGAGAAACTACACTGGAAAAAAAAAACACATTGGATCTGGAGTCCAGACTCTTGAAAACATTGACAAAAAAAAGGACTCTTGTTTCAATCAGATTTAAGCTTAAATCAAAAGGAAATCCGCTCAAATTAAGAGGCTTGGTTCTTGATTTAAGCTTAAATCTGATTGAATCAAGAGTATTTTTTCTTGTCGATGTTTTTAAGAGTCTGGACTCTAGATCCAATGTGTTTTTTTTTTTTTTCCAGTGAAGGTGGTTGTTGGATTTGGAGAGTATGGATTCGATTGAAATGAGTTTTTCAAAAAATATAGACGTGAACCGATCGGGGGGAAAAAACGCGAATGGAGCGATGCAATTCGAAAGACAATTGGAGCGACAACCGTGAATCGACTGACAAACCTGCGTATCGATCGACAGACTGGTGTATCGATTGAGAAACCTGTGTGTCGATCGACAGCCCAGTATATCGATCGACAAAACCCTGAACCAATCGAAAACCGCAAGAATCGATGGGCAAACTTGGGAATCGATTGACAAAACCGTGAATTTATCGAAGTTTTTCGATTAAATCTGTGTCGATCGAGTTGCTATCGATCGGAAGTTTGATTTTTCGATCGATTCATATGAATCGAGTCGACATTGGGATTTTCAATTAATGGTCAATCGCTTCGCACATTTTTGCTACTCGATCGAATTAATGCCCTTTGTGAGACTGGGCCCGCTACTTTAGGATACGGGTGGGTCGGGTGCAGGATGAACAATTTTACGAGGAAGAAGAGAAACATTGTGATGAAATTATGATGAAATGAAAATGCTGAACGAATGAGCGTTAATTTAGAGCCACGATCAAGCACTGGATCCTTTAAACGGAGAGAGTCTAGACCCTCCGCGCCAAGATGCGTCGCAGTAAATGTTGATGGCAACTATTCGAGCACCGTTGTCGTGGAGTTGCATTCCAACCAATCTGAAGGCGCTGTAAGCGTCCACACCGGAAAATTCACAATTTTAAATAAGTTCTTGGCTTTGAAACTCGTGCAAGATTTGTGCGCGTTGGAATCTATCGCAATCGCGCTAGCCATTTTCTTGTCTGCAAAAACCGGATATGAATAAGTTGAATGTGAACTGTTATGTTTGCCTTCATGAGATAGATTTTGTTCGGCAAGTCTAAGATTGCCTGATAATGATACGCAAGCATGCTTAGATTCCTCTACGAGCGAATCCGTTCAGTGTCCATGACATTCAAAGAGAAAGAAGGAAAACGTCTTTGCGCAGTGCAAAAATAAAAATACACGTGATTCACCGAGTGACAAAAAAATAGGGAAAATTATCAACTCCAGCAAAAGAAAAAGATGAAACTATTTTCGTAATGATTGGCATTCTTAACCGGAAAACTATATTACCTTCTACGACATTTATACTTTCTTTATTTTCCTTGAGGCAAAGCAGAAAAGAAAAGCAGTTTCGTATCGTTTGTGTAGCATGCAAAAAGCATCGCATGTAAAATTAACTGACAATTTAAGATATACCCGATGATTTAAAGTACTTAATTTAAAATAGATCTCAGGAAAAATTTTATGTTCGAAGATTCGAACCCACATTTTGGTAAAATTAACTTACAAATTAAGTTATGCCAGATGATCAAAAGTACATAATTTAAAATAGACTTCAGGCAAAATTTGCGGTTCGAATTGTCAAACCCATCCTAGGAGGCAAATGAAGGTGACTTATAACAATTTTTCCCCGTCACTTACATAAATTTCCCTGACATTTCCCGATTTTCCCTGACTGCGGCAACCCTGTGCAACGTTGCCGATCCGACCTGGAACAGGGCTCTTGAGCGGAATAAGGTGATAAAAAAAGGGCCTCTCGTGGATATGACAGAATCCCTTCGATCACACAGAGATCGTAAGGTACATTTTTAAAAATTCGCTGACATTTCCCAGTATTCCTTGACTGCGGCAACCCTGTGCAACGTTGCCGATCCGACCTGGAACAGGGGTCTCGGGCGGAATAAGGTGATAAAAAAAAGGGCCTCTCGTGGATATGACAGAATCCCTTGGATCACACGGAGATCGGGAGGTACATAGTAAAGCAGAGTCCGCGGCCGCGGCACTGCTTTTCCCCTCCTCTCGCGTAGTACCCCCACCCCGATCCGCAATCCCGCGGGGTTGCCATGTCGCATGCACTCGCCGAATCAAAGGGATTCCCCAATACGAGCCGAAGGGGCCCTGCCTCGAATTCAAATCACATCAGGGAATTAAAGGAACTTGTGATCGGCTGATGGTATATCGCTTGAATTTACGTTGAGTCACTAGATGAGGCGCTAAGCAAAATGATTTATCCTCAAAATTCCACGAGGAAAACGAATTTTAGAACAGGAGGTCTAGAAACCAACTTTAGAACGAGACAAGATCTTAAGGTTTACAATTAAAATTGGTAAAAGGCAGTTGGTATGACGTCATTTGTGAAAGCTATAACTTCAATTTGATCTGTGTTGAAATACTTGTGATACTCGCTTGAGGGTTGATTCCGAAACTTCCCCCGCAATCCTGCTGAGTAAATCATTTAATAGGTAAGATTTTGAAGGAAAAAACTTGAGGAGTCACGCAACTTCTCTCCTGTGTAGAGAAAAATGTCTATGTTTATGGTTACTTCGGGTTATTTCGAGTTACTTTTCTTACGACCACGCATCAACCAACAGGACAAAAGGACAAAGGATTTTGGGTGTTCGACCAAATTTTTGGTTAAATTGACCGAAGTTGCTCTGAGACATCCATATAGCACTTGGGACTATCACCAACACCAATGCGATCTAGGTTCGATCCTGGCGGCCTCGCGTCTGATTTATAACGAGCTTACTTCTCAACCCAAAAATTTTGCCGATCAAAATCAAAGGAAAACTAAGATCCGCACGTTTAGATAATTTTGTGTTCTACTTCCCAAAACACAAAATTTCGCTTAAATTTTCATGCTGCGTAACAGTCTCAAAACATCAGGACCTGAAAAATTTAAGCCTCCATACAAAGATTCTGTAAAATCAGGGCGCAAAACCTACGCCTGGATCGTTCAGCCGTACGGGAATAAAATCGGCAACTATGGTAAGCGAGCATCCTGACACGGTCGACGGTCGTATTACTCACTTTGTCCCTTTACTTACCCCTCCGGTCCCTCCGTCCTCCGGCCTTCGCG